TCGACACGGAAGACGAGGTTGTGATGAGGGCGAACGACACCCCTGTCGGCTTGGCTGGCTACGTCTTTACGAAGAATAACGATCGTTTGTGGAGGATGTTTGATCGGCTGGATGCCGCAGTTCTAGGAATGGTAAGTTGACGCACGCTCTGTTGCTTTCCCGGCAAGATATGATCCATCACCTTCCAAGTGTGCAAGTGGCTAATTGTACTTCATAGAATACGGTCTGCTTGGTGACAGAAACTCCCGTACCTGCTTCAAATAACGGGAACGGATACACACCGGCACAAGCTACGGCCTTGGATGAGTTTCTCGTCACAAAAGGTGCTGCGATGTCTCCTTCGTAGCCTCTTATTATTTTTGAAACCAGTGTAGGATAGTGCGATCGCCTTCTCTGTTTCCTTGTTTTGACACGCAAATTAGAGCTACCGGATCAAGTCGTGGAGTTGAGGTGTTGGACACGTGTGGTTTTGTTAATGAGGACATGTTCGCCGAAGCTTGTGTGGTATAAACAAGTACGTTGCTCGGGTATTAAAAGAATGATTTATGACGCTGCAGCTATCTTTGCGCACTCGTGTCCATTAAGCATCTCAAACTTAGCAATTCGGTGTGTCTTTCGTGCGGTGTACTCAATCGCGAAATAGTGTGTGATGACTTTCGTGTTGCAATGAAGCTGAACGAACTTGAGGCGATAAAGAAATTACGAAGGACTTGAGGAGTAGCGTAATCTGAGCTGCAAGAACCGTACATGGCATATTGAGGCCTGTGTTACAAGCCTACTCGACAGCGGTCACTTATGTGTAGGCTCGCGTAGTACTTTTTTTCCCAACTTGCATACATCATGAAATATGAAATCCCACTCCAAAAGCGCGCCACGGAGTCACCATGCCTAAATCCAGATGATAATTCGGAAAGGATTATAGCCCTAAGACGACTGTCGATTGACTAGCCATGAGGCAGTATCTGGGTGAAGGAGAACCTGAAAGATGGCGTGTCATGGTCTAACCTACCGATTGTCTTGCGCTATGAGAACATAGCCTCGTTCATCCCCCTTTCTGCTACAACTGTCTTTACTGCTTCAACTGTCCGTAAAATGATCTGTATCTTTGATTATCTGGAGCATACGATTGGAGTTTTATACGGAGAATGAAGAAGTTCAAGAACATCATGATTTTGGCGTTGACAAAAGCAGCATAAATTTACATCTTGTACTTCTAAAGTGAAAGATGGTACGTTCCGTGCCTAGCCCGTTTGATAGAAAGCATACAGTATTCTGGAAACGTATCGTAGCATAATCCTGAGGGCCACCGTTACAATGATGGGCGGTAGGCTTTTAAGCTATTCCACGTTCAAAACCACAGGGTCTGCTTCCCGTTTTCATATCTAGATAGGAACAATGCGTAGTGGATGAACCATCATACTCAAAAGGTAATCTCCTCTCGACTTAACGGGCGGCAGTAGACCTGTAGCAAACACTTTCGGTATATCACGTGGGTGCCTACTGCCTCCTGCCGTCAAATTCCCGTAGACTCCACGGAACCATGAACACACGAGAACGAATCACTACATCGGGAAGCCCATATAGGTCCCGTCGATTCTAATTCCGTCACCAACGGCAGCAGGCGCCTCACAGGCCTGTGAGGTCAGGTCAAACTGCCGTTTGGCGGGATGGTTACGGGCGAGCCTCGTCGACTGGCTTAGCCTACACTAGGTTCCAGGTTCGAGTCCCAGCATGAGCACCAGAGATGTAGCCCCCGTTCGCCACCGGGGGGGTGAACTCTTTTGACTTCTCCAGCCTTTTTTTTTCTTCTTCTCTTTCCCTCTCTCCCAATACACGGGAATACACGAGTGTGGGGTGGGCTATATGCCGATTCACCTCGGAAAATCTCAATAACAGCAAGAAAGGGAAAGTTGCCCAGAAGACAAAGATATTCGTAACCCAATGCTAAGAGCAGATTTACCGGGCTGTAGCTTGTGGGTTCGAATCCCACAGGTGCCTTCTTTTTTCTTTCTTCCTGGTACTGTTTGAGGCTCCTTTAAGCCCCCTTTTTTACTTGGTCATTCTTGCAAGCTGCCATATCTCTCTCTCAGCGTTTCTTGTGAAGCGCCTTCTTGTCCTTGCCTTTGGCGCAAAACTGGGTATGGGCCCTAGAAGTCACGATGATATGCGGCCTTTATAATTTCGGAGATCGGGAACGCATGGATGGCTTATCACACAGCCCATGGTCTGAACCAGGAGAAAGCAGAACGGGGGTGCGTACGTATTTGGAAGATACTCGAATCTCACAGAACATGCAACATTCCCATATCGCAAGACTCATTTTGCCAGTTGAGGTCATGTTTGATGGGCAAATGATGAATTTCAATTCTCCATGGAGTAGTCTTGCAAAGGCCTAAAGTCACGTACACACATCGTTTTGAACATACAAATCTTAGTACAAGCTGACATCGTTGCTCGAAATGGCTCAGAATTGTCCGAGAACATATTCGTATATCAAAAAGGCTACAGTGATCGGTACAAGATATATTTACAGATAGGCATGGCAAGTGAAGGAAGACTGGTGGACGCATAAACTCCAATGGCACATTTGATATTTATGTATTGATTGAAACGATGAAGCCTTCTTTACCAAGCCACCCAAACTCCACTTTTGATGCACAGCGTACGGAAATATTCCACCACATATTGACTACTTACAATACCAGGTCTTCCATCTCTTTAATCTACATATCCTTGGAGCGCATCTTCTTGAGACGCAGTCCACCCTCAAAGACACCGCGGTCAACAGCAGCGGCGACGGTAAGAGTGCCGCCAATGATGGCACAAAGGCCGGTCAAGAAACCAGTGAATGTCTTGGCGCGCTCTTCGCGGTTGATGACCTTCATAGGAGAAATATCCTGGACACGTTCGTGTGAGTGAAGGAGGTCGAGGACGCGGGTATGGAGGAACTTACGTAGGAAAAGAAGACTCCCGGGATACCGCCACGAGAGTGGAGGCGTTCCTGGTGTCCTTCGGCAGAGTCATCGCCACCAGCCAAGCTGCGCTTATGGCTCGTGACGGAGTATTGGTGAGTCTCGACGCTGCCATCACTTCCCTGGCCAAGAAGACCGAGGCCAGAGTTCTCCTCCTCGGGGTTGGATCCCTTCTGCCAGTTGAGAGCGAGGTAGGAGGTAGGCACGATCTTGACAAAGTACATGAAATTGTAGTTGGGATCGTTGGTCTCCTGGTGGGTGTTGTCGAGAGGGTTACCGTGGTGGTTCGTCCACGCAGCGGCGCGCTTGCCCATCTTCTTGGTAACGGTGTCAGGCAGCTGGGGGCCGAAGCGCAGGGAGTGAACAGTGTGAGTGAAGTCGTGCTGGGCATCGGAGGGGGTGTCCCAGTAGTTCTTGAGGTCGTGGACGTGCATGTTTCCGTTGCTAAAACTGCGGCCAGGGGCAAGGTGGAAGTTTCCGACGACCTTGTTGACGCGCAGGTTACCCTCAATACGGCAGCCCTCCTGGCGCTGCTCCTCCAATCGCTCGGCGTAGTGCTCGCGTGTGCACTGCTCGACGTTCTCGCCCTTACCGAAAGCCCACGAAGCCTGCGCGTACGCCTCCCTGACTTCCTCGCAGGTGTTGCAGCATCCGGCCTTTTGCGCGTTCGCGGGTGACGGGGCGCCATAACAGGGGCCGCAGTAGTTGGGATCCAGGTGCTCAGCAGCCTCATCACGAGAGTGACTGGCGGAAGGTGTTAGAGAAAGCTCCCCGGCAGAAGCGACATTTGCGGCAACTTACAGATCCAGGGCCTTGATGTCAATGACACCACCACCCTCCTTCTGGGGACGAAGGCGAACCTTGTTGATACCGTGCTGAACGCCGTGCTGTTGCTCGCCAGAAACATCCATGACGTCCAGGGTGAGGAGCTCGCAGGGCATCTTGGGGAAAGTCATGTTGAGATGGATCTCCATGCGCTCGCCTGTTACCGGGTACATATTAGCTCCTTCTGCCTGTACAGAATAGGAGAGACTGCCAGGGCTTCATACCTCTTCCTTTGTCCACGATCAACTCGGGGTGGATCTCTATCCTCCGGTAGTCAACCCATTCTCCCCAGGCCAGCCAAAAGACTACGATCAGCGACACGATAGTGACAATTCCACCAGACGTTGTGCGGATGCGTGCTTCGTCGACTGTCTTTGTGAAGGCGTCGAGCCTTGTGAATCTCGATTTTGCCGGCATGGTGAGTTCGGGAGGAGGAGTGTGTTATCAAGAGCTGTCGACCTCTATCGCGAGTTTGGGGTAGCCTCGTAAGCGTTGTGGGAAGAATCAACGGGAGTAGGCCAAAAGTCGTACTTTCGCAACAATGCGCCAAGCAGAATAACGCTGAAAGGAGTGGCGGAGAGGTAAAAGGTGATATCAGGAAGTGAGAGACCCCGCCTGAACCATGAGAAGAGAAGGTCGACGCGAGAAAGTCGAGTTGGAAGCAAGGTAGGAGGATTGGATCTCACAAAGCCTTGGGAGTTGCGCAAATCCAAAGTAAAGTAGAGGCCACCTTCACTCGTTTTCTGGCCACGCAGCCCGTCCACGGTCCAGCTCTCAATTGCGCTAAAGGTGCATCTTGTCAGGGGTCTCGCACGGGGCGGGCGGGTCCGGGTCCCTGGGTAATTGTCGGCCGTTGGCCAATGGAAGATGCCGTTAGACCACTAGAAGCAATCCAGAATCAGATGGCTCGTGCTTAAGCTGCGCGGCTCCCGTCCCCACTGTAAAATCCCAGCCTGGTAGTCAAGGCTGGAGAATGCAGTGCTTTCTGATCCAAAAGGCAACCTCCAAGAAATCATCACCGTTGCGCCGTCCTTCGACTGAATCAAATTGATACCCACGACACTTTGAATCGAGGAATCGATACCGAAAGAAGAGAACGCTGCGAATTTTTCAACGAACGCGATACCCAACGTCCCTTTGACCGCCTTGGCGAGCGCGTACTGAGCGAGTCTTGTGTGCCGACCATCGCACCTTCATACCGTGATGTCGAAGCCGCCTTCCAGAGTTGTCTTCGTGGGCAATATCCCCTATGGTAGGAACTACTCTTCCACAAGACTCTATGTATCTAACCAATTGTCCTAGGCCTTTCCGAGGAGCAGATCAGCGACATCTTCAGCAGCGCCGGCAAGGTCCTCAACTTCCGCCTAGTCTACGACCGCGAGACCGGACGGCCCAAGGGTTTCGGCTTTGCAGAATATCCAGACAATGGTATTTCTCAGAAGAACCCTACTGCTCTTAGAATCTAGACTTGACTGACTATGCGGCGCAGACTCCGCAGCGTCGGCTGTCCGCAACCTGAACGACTATGAGATTATGGGAAGGAAACTTAGGGTCGACTTTTCCAACGAGGGCGGCAGTGACGACAACAATGATAGCCACGGACACGTACGTATAGAGGTACAGCCCGGCATTTGAAGTTGGAATCTGACAATGGAAACAGGGCCGAGATGGCGGCAACCCCTCCCACGCCTCGAACGGATACAACCCTGTCGCGCCGCCGATGCAATCGAGTACGCTGCCTCCTCTCCCAGCCGGCAAGGAGCTCCCCCCGAACGTCACAGCAACCGACGCCATCTCACGGACTCTCAACACCCTTCCCCCCTCTCAACTCCTCGATATCCTCACACAGATGAAGGCGCTGGCCTCTACCGACCCCGCCAGGGCGACGGAACTTCTCCAGCAGGCACCGCAACTGGCATACGCCGTCTTCCAGGCTCTCCTGCTCATGGGTCTGGTGTCTCCCGAGGCGATCCACTCCGTCATCGAGCCTGGCGGCGCGCCCCCGGCGCCCCCACCGCAGGCCGCGCCGATCGGTTACCCGCCACAGCCCACCCCCGGCTTCCCGCCGGTCCCCGTGATGGGAGCTAACAACACCCCGCCTGTCGCCGGCACGCCGTACGCGCCTCCCCCGCAGCAAGCTCCCTATGGCGTACCCCCGCCAGTTGCTGCACCTCTGGGTCAAGACCCCGACGCTCTCATGCGGCAGGTTATGGAACTGCCGATGGAGACGATCAACATGCTCCCCGAGGCAGAGAGACAACAGATCCTGGCGCTCCGCGCAAGCTTTGGTGGACAAAGGCGATGAGCATGGTATACTTGCCCTGGTGCATGTGCGAGCTGTGGTGTTCAGCTTACGAGCTTGACATCGCTTGGAGCAACCCAGGACTACTATTTTTGGGCAGACACGTCACTCTGATCGATGGTAAAGACTTGAGATTGAGAAGATGCGGGGCCCCCCCCACGTCCACAGCTTCTATACTAACTCCGAACATCCGACCTGGCTCATGGTAACGAAACGGAACCTTGCGGATGGTTGCTTCGTGAGCAAAGAGGCTCATACGAAGCTATTCTTAGAGGAAAGCTACCCTTGGAGGGACCAGATGAGGGGCTCAATGGGGTCTTTGCCAGATAATTGCCCCTCCAACAACCTCCTTAACCACTCTACTTTACTCATCCAAATCATCACAAAACGACTTTCTACCGATTGTTTAACATCTGAGCCTCGGTAGGGCCTGAAAAAACACGGGCGTGTGGGGAGGCCGGAAGGTGGCGTTGAATGATGGATGGCGTATTTTTTGAGAGCTGCGCCTCGATTCGCAGCAGTGGCGGGGCCGAAAGGTCTTTTTTGTGTTTTCTAGCAACCAAGTTTTTCTTCTCCTAGAGTGCGGACGAGGCAGATCACGAGGAACAAAAAAAAACCAACGCGGCCAAGTCTAAATATACCACACTTTACACTCGAAAACGAGCTGAGCATCTTGTTCAGCTCAGAGAAAAACTTTATTTACTTTCCGGTGTGCCGTTGACGCAAGCTGGTGGGGGGAGGCGAAAGTTGACGACGAGACCGACCACCTGGCCAACAATGGTTTGCTGCGGCTCATGGAAAACGCGATGTGAAGGATAGGTAGGACAATTATAGCACATCTTTGCCACGACCTTTAGCTGTAGAACAAACAAGATCACTTTTGTAAACGGTTTCAATTCATTGCCGTCCATCCGTCTTAGACGGCGTGTGGCTTTGATACTCTTTGCAAGATGAGATAAGAGATATATACCAAAAAAAATAAAAAATAAATAAATAAAATAGATACCGGGACAATGTTTTTTCTTAGGGGGGGAGTGGTGTATCTGATACCGACAAGCAACTCTAAATGGCAAAGAAAGATGCCCTGTAAGGCGACTGGAGAAGCTGGGTTTCAAAATGCCTACAGAAACAGGTTTCTACTGATAGGACAAGTTTACTGCATATTCGTACGGGTATAGAATGCTGGGGGAGCAGCACTCCGCGGCGGACAGGATTTGGCCGTGATGGGACTGAGTTTTGTCTGCAGAGAGTAAGTACTTTACTCAAGATATCTCATGCATCGCATCCGGTCTTCCTGACCCTGGCAGAGGTATATGCCGGGGCCTAGCGAGGAGGGTTTTACATCAGACATTGGATAGCGAGTATCCTCAACTTCCCAAGTTCTCATTCGCCGCCGCCCGCCGCCACGTACATGGCTGCACTCAAGGTGACGGGAGAAGGGGGGGGGGAGGGGTGATATCATGTTTCTGTGGCAGTTATCACTATGCGCGCCACAGTGAGTCGTGACCAGACGAGAGAACTTCATGCGGCCAAGGAAGAGAGACTTGCTTTGTGTACTGTGATATGGGGTGCGATTCGGTGGGATGAATCGGCAGCTGTAACCGGGGGCCCATCCTTTCAAAATCATGTGGCTTGGTCACCTTGGCCGGAATGGTGGGAGTTGGCAAGCGAAAAAAAAAAGATGGGACGAGATATGCTGAAGTTTGAACAATGTTGGACGGAATTGCAGTGAAGTTCTAGACCTCCCCTAACGATTAACGACGTCCATCGCTAGAACTTTAGTTCGCCACTTCAACACCACCCGCCGCATCGCGGCCGTGTTCGATGCGGTACACGAGCCACGCGAGCAGTCAACCCTCGTATTGGAAAAAAGAGTGTCCAATAAATGTGGTGCTCTGTGGGTGGCCCCACTCGTGCTTCTGAGTCGGGAGCGAAACAAGCCACTTGTCTCACAGAAGCTAGAAGCCCATCGGGAGGGTAACGTCGTTCCTGAATCTTTTGCACTTTGCATGCAGGGGATTGTGGAGGAGGACGGAGAAGAAGGAAAAAAAAAAATGGGGGAGGAGGAGTTCTTTTTGTCAGAGAATGTCAATGGGCAGAACATCCGAGTCCGTAGTGAATGCGCCGTAGGAGCTGTGTCTCCCTATGCATTCGTGCCACACTCTTGTGTGGGAAAAGGAGGAGAAAATTGACCTTTCAGAAAAGGAATGATTTTTTTTTTACTCACATGGCGGAAGCTGCAAGTTGGGGGAGTCTTCGCGTTCTATCATTGGTCGCGTCCACATAAACCGTTAAAATGGGTTCATCTGAGGGCACCCCAAGTGCAACGAATGAACGAACGACAGAGGCACCGACAGAAGGGATGATGGCCGCAGGCTGAAACGACCTGACAGGTTGTTATACATACACGGTATAGTACCGTAAGTCTGATGGTTGTTGAAAGTTGTCAGTGACATTGAGTTGTGAATGACGAGCATGGATACAGCCGAAACCCCGGATACTCAGGTAGAGACCGCGGCTGGCAATGATGGGACCGCGCATCTTTGCGTATTCTTCGCATCTTTTGCAGAGGTCGCCGTCAACTGAAGTGTGCTCGGTAATTGGTGCATCGTCACGGCTGCTTTTGGGTGTTTGTTGACGCGGCCTCCAGGATCGACGTGGGAGTGAGCCGCCGTGTAATTTCCCCAGCCGAAAGAAGGTTGAGTTTTGTAAATTTCCCGTCCTTGAATTGGCAGTCCATGCAGGTCATATGTTGGCAGAGAAATTTTCGAGGTGTAATCCTCCGTGACTCCGTACCGTCTTGGGCAGTCTTCCTTCTTGATTCTTGCCGGGGAAACAAAAAAGAAGGGTCCCGGACCATGCCCCATAGACCATAGGAAGGCTATTGGCAATTGCAGCGGCACTGCATGTTGCAACGTCGCACTAATAAGGTTGTATGTATCCATAGGAAGAAGGTCGTAATGAGCGCGGTCCCTAAATGGCACATGTCTTACCTGCTGTAAGGTACTCCGTACGGATAGGTACCAATATCGAGTACCAAAGTAGACGAGAAAGCAATTCAAAAGTTCAAAAGAAGGTTTTCCGACGATGCTTCGTACTCTGTTGGGTCATGGGATGAGCCAATGAAACGCGGGGATGACTTCCCAATCCAGGGGCATCACGCTGCAGAGAGCGGGAAGCGAAATAATTAGAGCCCCCTCGGAGTGGAGGAAAAAGGAGGGCAGGCGACAGGCGGGACATGTGCCATGTGGGATTCGAGAGAAAATTGGGAGGGAAATATATGATGCCGACAGGCTTCGAGCGGATATGAGAGGGGATGCTGTCGTCCGTGAGGCCATCGTCGATTCGTCATGTGCGACCTATTGGTTTCTACTTTGATTGTTTATGTTGTTCTGGACCGTCGCTCCGTGGCATGTGGCTCCGTTTCTTGGGGGGGAATTGCCAATTGGTCTATTTTGGCGTCCGTTCCTTTGTTGTTGATGGGGCTGCTTGCTGGGAAGTTGCTGCTCAAGCCCTTCCAGCATCCAGGTTGAACCGTCAAAGACCCAAGGGTGCGTTCCATTGGGGGTTCTCCCGCTGACGAGTGATTCGCGAGTGGACGGGACCGACGATCAAGACGACACATCGCCATGTCTAGTTGATGGAGGATGCTCCGTAGCAGCTCCGTAAATCTAGAGCTGGCGTCCGTTAGTGTAAACGGTTAGGCAGGGTAGGTGGAAAGGTACTGGACGGTGGGCCTTTAGCAGTAAGATAATCTCCATCGTGGACATGGACAGTCGTCGCACAACAACATTTCGCACAGCAACGATGCGGATAGCTGTTTGTGCATAACAGCGCCCGGCCGCCTTGGTAAGGTAGGCCGAGAAACAGCAGGGAAGAGGTGTTGGAGAGGAAGAGAAGAACAGAGTTGTGTGGTGTTGCGCCAGGCGTTGATCTCTCGATGAATGGTCCAGATTTCTGGCCCAGCGTGTTCTAGCCTGGGTCTTCGCCCGTGTTAGTGCAGCGACAATGTTACTAAAGTTAGGTCTCCTGGCCATCCGCTAATAAGGAAATGGAATGGAATGACGAGAAACGCACTTCAGTCCGGGGCAGCGTGCGGATACCTCGTATGCACTATTCCCTCCCCTCTAGCTACCTAGCATAGTGCTCAGTGCGTGAGTGCCTTAGTAAAGCCCGGGCATGGGAAGAGCTCCGTCAGGTTCAGGACAGCTCAGAAGAAAGCTGAGTCGAGGATGCCGCTAGAACGGCTCTTGCTTAGATGGGCAGTGATGAGCGACACCTGAAGCCTGGAGCTTGAGGGAAGAGGCTGTTGCGCTTCCTACGTGCCTATCTGTTAAAGTTCCTCCCATCCCGCCCGGGAATGCCTTAGGTGCTTAAAGTAGGTTGATGGCTGGGCTATTCTGGGCGATTCTTATTGCTGCAGGAACTGTACTCCGTACTCTAAACCGGGAAGAACGAGAAGGAAGCGGCAGTGGAAGCGGGAATGACCGGTGGCAGGGCTGTTACTTCCAGGCTGAAAAGCTGTTGCTTCCCATTCCAACTTCTGGCCAACAGACTCGGGAAGGTACGAACCGAATACCTTACCTGCCAACTCACACCATAGATGATACAAAAAAACCGCGATTCCATGATTATTAGGTAAGGCACCTCAGGTAACCTCTATGTTGAAGAAGGAAAGGCATTCCCTTTGGTCTTTCTTTCTCCGTTCAGTGTGGCAACTGGCGACACGAGATCATCACCTCATACCAAGGTGCCAAAAGGAAGCGCAGCTTCCTTACCGAAGATGGTTGTGTCCTTTGCCGTTATGCATGTCAAAGCAAGCCCACCTGACGTGCTCTACGATCTACACCCACCGCATCTTTCATCATGGCAACGAAGGACGTACATAAACTCATGAAATAAGGTACAGGCAGGTGCAGAGACGAGAGGTACGGGCAAGGCATACACTCCTGCTATGCACCTAGGCGCGGCTCCCACGTTGACCTGAAGATGACTATGCCCTAGACTCTCACGTATGTTGACGACCAAACCGAGCGCGTACCTGACTGAGCATTGAATATCAGCCATACCAAAGGTAGACTCACGTACAGTATACAGTCCCGGGCTGCTGATTGCCACCGAACCTCGGGTCACAATGTCCAAGCCACATGCACAATCGGCGTGAACGTGGTCGTCGACGGTCTAGAAGGAAAACGGAGTGTGGCGCGCTACCTACCTTACGATTTGCTACGGACGACGACGCATTGGCATTAATGAACAAGGTGACAGCGACAGAGAAGAACTGGAGACGTCCCCGTTTCCAGTTGAAGCGCAGGGTCGCAAGAGGTCGCAGGGCCAGCCGCCACAGGGCTTGAAAGGTTGAAGGAGGGGCGTCACGGGCGGAAGTAGAGACCTTGCACCTTGCAGGGCCAGCAAGCAGGGATTAGACGGGGACGAGCGACAAGACAAGAAAAAAGGGGAAATTTGGGTCTTGCTGTTAGTGCATCGTGTTGCTATGCGATGCCATCCAATGACTGTTGTGTACCTGCACCCCAGACAACGCCATCGGCAGACGGCCAGCCATGATTTACAACTGCAGACACTAAGGGGTTTCAATAAGTGATGCTGCTGCTGCTGTACCTTACATAGGTACGAATACCTACATGCCTTGATGTACCTAAGGACTGGGCTGCGTAGAAATGCATATTCTGGCTGCTTATGCGCGTGCAACTTTCACCGGTTGTTCCTGCTGTGTTTCGTGGGCGTCCGCCTGTGATGCCATTCCCTGTTGTTGCCCCTGCTTCCGTGCGGCGTGCCTCGCATGGGGGGCCCTGGCGCCGTCGTGGCTGCGGATACATGTGGTCGTGCTAACTCATCCCTTGAACGTACCGCGGTACGTATCCCTACCCTCTACCGGTCTCGATGCCCGTGCTCCCAAGTGAGAGGCACCCACCTCAGGATTCCCATTCAGGAGCGTTCCTACCGTCTTGAGTATGGGAACGTGAGGTGTCGAATGGAAGGTGCTTTCCATCTTTACGGTACCTTACGGAGCACTGATGTCCCTGTATTAGCGTCGCGTTAGGTGCTAGACTCAACTCAGTCTGTTCCTTGCGTCCCCACGATTGGCCCAATAACACCCTGTCCCAGTTGACAAGTGGAAAGTCACCTCTGAGTCCTCTCCCCTCCCTAGGGCCCCAAAGTGCCCAAGTGCCCGCCCCTCTGGGAATCCAATCCAATCCAATTCAATCCAGCTGCACCATTGCACTATTGCACCACAACCAGTTCCAGCCCGGGGCGACTCAAGTGCATTGCTTCTTTCCCTCTTTCGTCTCCTCGTTCATCCTCTTTCGCTTGCCTCCCCCGGCCGTTTTGGCACCTGCTCATCACCTCCCCCTCGTATCCGATTCTGGGGGGAAACAGAGATCGCTTCCATTCTTTCTTTCCCGCTTCTCGTCTCGCTTCCTCTCTACCTTTTCTCTTTTTCCCCCCCTTCCCTCCTAGGCTTCCCCCTCCCCTCCTC